GCTGCCTTCTCTCCATCAAACAATAGTTTCCCTCAGTTTAATTACATTGCCTTAGACAAAGGCCATAACCACCAGAATTATGCAAAATAGGCAGATCTATGTAAATTGGGTTCATAGTCCCTGCAGGCCACAAATTTTCCTTGGCATAGAATTGTGGGGTGGAGGGGGCGGTTGTTGTCTTTGTCTGGAATTTGGCTCACACAGACCTGCATTTTAGCCCACGGCACACACCGGGGTCCCTCCCGTCACTGCCAGGCCGGCTCAAAAGCGATGGGGAAGATGAGGGGCTGTTCCGGTGGCATCGGCGGCTGAGGCAAAGCAATTTGTGGCAGGGCAGGGGGCCACCCGGGAGCACTGGCCACGGGGGTGCTGGTGTGGGTGCGCTCGTGGCGCAAGAGGTGCGTTTTGCGGCTGAAGCTCCGGGCACAGTGGGTGCAGATGTACGGGCGCAGGCCAGTGTGCACGGCTTGGTGCCGCACCAAATTGGTCTTGGAGCTGAAGCGCCGCGGGCACTGGGAGCAGGCATGAGGGCGGAGGCCCGTGTGCACGGCTTCGTGCCGGGCCAGGTGTGACTTCCGGCTGAACGCCCGGCCGCACAGCGGGCAGGCGAAGGGGCGCTGTCCGGCGTGGGATTTGACATGCGCCAGTAAGCTGGCCCGGGTGCTGAAGGTGCGGCCACACTGCGCACAGGAGAAGGGGCGCTCGGCTGAGTGCTGGTTGCGCCGATGTCTCTGCAGGTGCCGCTTGTGGGCGAAGCAACGGCCGCATTCCCCGCAGGCAAAGGGGCGCTGCCCGACGTGGCCCCCGCACTGGTGGGCCGCCAGGCCGGCCCGGTGTGCAAAGCTTCTCTCGCAGTGTGGGCAAGCGTACGGCAGAAGGCCCATGTGCCCACGCAAGTGCGCTGTCAGGTGGCGCTTATCGCTGAAGCCCCTCCCGCACTCGGCGCAAGAAAAAGGGCGCCCGCCCTCCGCATGGAGCCGCTGGTGGGAAGCCAAATTCTTCCTCCAGGCAAAGGCCTTCCCGCAGTCAGAGCACAGAAAGGGCTTCTCTTCGGGCAGCGAGCAGGAGCCAGCCTCCTCCTCCTCCGGTTCCGTCTTGCTCACCTGTTCCCTGCAGAGTGCACTGCCCCCGGCCTCCCCCTGCGCCCCGCACAGCATGCCGAGGGGCCCCTGCTCAGGGCAGGCGATGCCGGGAGCCAGGGTCTCTCTCTGCCGGGGAAGGTCCATGCAAGGGACTCGGCCCAGTTCTGGCTCAGC